GATAGTTCGATTATAGATTGCGTTTGTGCGATTAAGCACGCAAGTGTGACGATGCGTCCACGACCTGGAGAAAGAAATCAGTTGCAGAATAAAGTTTGTTTGACTTATCATATTTTCTAATTTCATGCACACTCTGCACCGCTATTCCGATAACATGCCATGCTTGAACTGAATAAACTCCTCTCCCATCGATTTAGCTTTGATCTCAACAATTTTGTTTATTTATTAATTAAATTATTTATGTATTTTTTCATCTATTCATTTTTAATCAATTTATGTATTTTCTATTTTATTCATTTTTTTAATTAATTTATTTATTTTATAATTTGTTTATTTAACCTGTATTATATATTTATTTAGTTACCTGTATTTCTTGTTATTATTTCGTTTTTGAAGAAAATATAGCAAATAACATAAATGTTAGCTACTACTACGAATTGTTAGCAGTGTATTGTACGCCCATTTACAGTCCAAGGCGGGTGATTGCTTCTTTCATTATAGCTCGTTGATTTACTTTCAAACATACGCCTGGAAATTTGTCGAAGAAGAGAATATATCCCGGCATTGAAAACGGTGACACCTTCCCAGTTAGAAATTCTATCATTTCACTATCAGTACAGATGCTTCCTTTTTTCAGCACAAGACAGAGGCAAATTTCGCTCAAATATTTCTCATCAGGAACAGGAACTACTTGTGCATCTTTAACTTTTGGATGATCTCCAAGAAAATTTGTGATTTCCGCCGGAAAAACATTGTGAGAGCCTTTTACAATCATGTCGTCTCTCCTGCCTAATATAACTAATCGACCATTTTCATCCATCTGACCCAGATCTCCAGTATAATACCAACCATCTGAATGTTTGACTTTTTCTGTGCGTTCTTTGTCACCATAATACCACTGGAAATGATAAGGCCCACGCACCCATATATCATCTGTAGTGTTAACAGGCATAATGCGTTTATCTGTGTCTGTAATTTTCACTTCACAATGTCCCAATACTCGGGTTTTCCCACGAATTCTATCTTCTAATGTATACGATACGTCCCCGATGCTTATATAAAGAGTTTCTCTCGTTCCATAGAGAACAACTGCATTACCGCATAATAAATTGACAGCATTCAGAACGTTGCCTTCTGAGAAT